ATAACCAGGAACAATTGTATGAAGAAAACACCAAATGTATCAAGTCAGCGGTGCTTAAACGGCCCRGGCTGCTCCTTAAATAATCAATTCCCATTTAATTAGCTTACCACAAAAATTCCATTAAATTTAAATAAATAGACATGGCAGGAGTCCTCCAAGGCTCGGCAGGCTGCGTTTAAAGAATTCTCTTTGAGTTCGTTAGGTCAGTCTCTAATCAGCTGGCAGGCAAAGCCCTTGTGTGGCCCGGCCCACTCCTGCAACGCCCGATAACGAGCAATTGAAGTTGCAAAAGACACTGTTTTGGGGCTGGTTTAGCAAGAAGAACCGAGTCACTGAGAAATCAGGTGGGCAGCAGAGCTYGATGGGCTTCTGCCTGTAGGGAAAGCTCCCACTTTTCCCCTTCTGTYGCCAGAAGCTGGAATGTGGCCGAGCTCCGTTTACTGCTTCAGGGCAGGCCAGATAAACCCCTGCCCGAAGGGACAGTTGGTTTCCTGGCCTTGCTGAATGGCCCGGGTGATTTTCCAAGCCCTCTGTTAGTGCTCCAGCACTTGCACGTGGAGGGAGGGAAGCAGCCGCTGGGCAGCCCCAGCCTCCAGCGGGAGCAGGACTCGGAGCTGGACTGCCAGGGCTGCCACCTCCGAGGGCCTGGGAAGCACCAGAACTTGGAACCACTGGGCACTGGGGGGGATCCCATCTCCCAGCTCCCTTCCCACTCTGCCAGATGGTTTCTAGCAGAGCTCTGCTTAGCCAAGGGAGAAACAGCTCCAATTGTCTTCCCGCAGGCTCTGCCGGAGCTTTGATCATCCAGTGCTGAGGCCAGGCAGGTTCCAGGGTTTCCAGGACGGCTGGGGGGAGCCACGAGCATCCCTGCATCCTGGTGCTGCAGCCATCGGGAAGGTCCGTGTAGCTTCTCCCAGCTCCAGGTGGGATTGGGGTGGGATGCCTTGCCACCCGGCTGAACTGCCCACGTAATTYGGGGCTTGCAGGAAAGCTCTGGCACTGTCGGCACGGAGCACCTTCCGCTCAGCCCAGCGGCATTCCCTGGGGCTTCGCTCCAGAACCATRCAGCCCCGCCACGGTCCCCTCCAGCTTGGGGACATCACCGAGCTTTTGYGGTGCGTTTACCTCAGAGCAACGAGCAGGGTTTGACGTTTTACCTGCCAGCRTCAGACCACAACCCCGCACATCTGCTCGCTGCAGAAGCGCGAACGCCGGGCACTGCTTTGCCTCCGGCTGCAGAYGAAGGGGAGCTGCCTGTCCCTGCGCAAGCCCTTGTGCAAGGCCCTGTGCAAATCCTTTTGCAAGCCCCTGCACAAACCCTTGTGCAAGCTCCTGTACAAACCCTTGTGCAAGCCTTGTGCAAGCTGCTGTGCAAATGCCTGCGCGAGTCCCTGAGCAATCCCCTGTGCAAACCCCTGTACAAGACCTTGTGCAAATCCTTGTGCAAGTGCTTGAGCAAGCCCCTTTCCAAACCCTTGTACATGTGCAAACCCTTGTGCAAGCCCCTGTGCAAACCCTTGTACAAGCCTTCTGCAAATCCTTGCGCAAGTGCTTGAGCAAGCCCCTTTCCAAACCCTTGTACCTGTGCAAGCCCCTGTGCAAGCTCCTGTGCAAGCCCTTGTGCAAATCCTTTTGCAAGCCCCTATGCAAATCCTTGTGCAAGCGCTTGTGGAACCCTTGTGCAAGCCCCTGCGCAAACCGTTGTGCAAACCCTGTGCAAATCCTTGTGCAAGCCCCTGTGCAAGCCCTTGTGCAGGCCCCCGTGTAAATCCTTGTGCAAACCCTGTGCAAACCCTTGTGCAAGCCCTGTGCAAGCCCTTGTGCAGGCCCTGTGCAGCCCCGTGGGGCGCAGGGTGGCCACACCAGCAGCACTGCGCACAAGCACCCCTCGCGCAGCGATACGCGAGCGGCGCCCGTGCCAGCATCTCTCACGGCTCTGTTCCTCCCCAGGAGGAACTGGCCGGCTCCATCGCGCTGCCAACGCTGCCCGGGCACTCAGATCAACCTCAGCCGCTGCTCCGCTCCCGCCGGGGGGCCCGTGCATGTCCCTCTGTCCRTCCTCTTCCCAAATTGCCCATCGTTCCTTCGGCCCGGTCGCATCTGGCGAAAGGAGTGAGGTTGGGAACSGCCACACCGGTTCTGGGGTCACCAGTGGGGCTGGTCCCCCCCCATGGGGACCYGTCACCCCAACACAGGGCACACACTGCCCAAACCTGGAGCACCCACCACCTAATACAGAAGCCCCCCGCGTGGGGCACCCAGGGCCCTCATATGTGGCACACACTGCACCCATGGACCCCATGGGGGCCACATGGCACTATAAAGCGGGGCACCCCCTAAAAACAGGGGACCCRCCACTCTATCATGGGGCACCCGTGACCCTGATGTGGGGCGCCCATAGAAATGGGGCACTCCTGAAACATGGGGCACCCGTGATCCTGCCTGGGGGTGCCCATAAAAATGGGGCACCCCTCAAACATGGGGCACTCATGAACCTGGCATGGGGCACCTATAAAAACGGGGCACCCCTCAAACACGGGGCACCCCTGATTCTGACAGGGGCACCCATAAAAACGGGCCCCCCCTCAAATAGGGCCCCCCCCTCACACCGGGCCCGC